GCTCACTGCATCGTCCATTGGGGGCAAACAGGTCGGCGCAGGTTTCCTGTCCAGTGCCCCCACTCGCGCTCTCCAACCCACTTGGCCAATCGAGGCCTGGCAGCAAGCCAGGTTCACTGCAAACACATTTTGTGTCAATGGTCAGTGGATACATGGAGCAGTTTTGTATGGTCACGCTCATCAAGCAAACACCAAAGCAGGTCGTCAATTGACTTCAGACATTTTGGACTTGATGATCCATCGTATCGTTCACACTCTTAAGGGGTATAGGTTCCTTTGCGGAGATTGGAATCAAGAAATCCATGACCTTCACCAAACAGATAGGTTGCAGCAACTTGGATGGCGGGAAGTACAAATCTGGGCGTGCGATCAATGGCAGAGACCCATCACCAAAACCTGTAAAGGTAAGACGACTAAAGATTTTCTGTGGGTAAGTCCTGAGCTCCTTCCACATTTGCGTCGCATCAACACATGCGAACTGTTTCCAGACCACACAGTTTTGTGGGCCGAATTCGCAAATCTAGGCAAGCCTGAACCTGTTTATGTTTGGAAATATGCAAAACCCATTGAATGGAAAAACTGCCCACAAATACCAGATGGTGTTTTCTCCATTGTGCCTCAAGACACGCCAGATGACCAAATCCAGAAGATTGCAACAGAGTTCGAGAAGAGAACAGACCAGACCATGCGTGCGCACAAAAAGCAGGGATTGCTGCCATGCCAACTTGGCAGATCGCGCACAAGTGCACCTCGTAAATGTCAGCCGCGCCGACCACCCCTCAAGCCAGGGTGGCACGGTCAAGCAGCACCCGAGTTCGAAGGGCATACCACCCAACATGTCCAGTGGTTCAAGCAACTCAGACGTCTTGAATCCATCGCGCGGGACAATGTAGGTTCCCTCGCAGCTAAAATCCATAAAGACCGAGAGTGGAGATCCATCCTTAAGGCCCAGGGATTTCCTGGTAGTTTTCCTAAGTGGTGGAAAACTCTTGAGAGTCGTGCGTCGCCAGCGCCACGGAGCTTGCCCATGGATGTTCCGACTCAGGCACAGTTGGTGGCCATCAAATTGACTTTCGCAGAACAAGTCCGACAGCTCGAAGTCGCTCTCATGGGTAAATTTTGCTCGATCGCTCGAAAAAATCGATTGCTGAATCCTCACAAGATTTTTCAGGACGTTCGTTCTCCCCCTTGTGCACCCGTTGTTTTGCTTGATAATAGTGCCTTGGTCAAGATAGTGGAAGTAGACCCAACTGATATGTCTCTTACTCTGGAAAGACCTCTTCAGAGCTTGGACTGCAATGCACCAGTCTACACCTCCACTGCTTGTACTAATGTTCTCATGGCTGACACGGATAAAATTTGGGTTGAGGATGTGGCAGATTTTCAAGCAGGTGATCTTTTGCACCAGCCGCAGTTCATAGGATCCCTTGAAGATCTGTTTGCAGCTTTTTCGTCCGAATGGCAAAAACGGTGGGACAGACACCTTTACGTCCCGATCGAGAAGTGGGATCCTTTAGTTGAATTCTTGACCGACCATGTAGCAAAAGGTGCCCCTATGGCCCTTCCCAAAATTACTCCTGAAGCCTGGTACCAGGCCCTCCGCCATAAGAAAAAGCGGTCCGCCAGAGGACCCGACAGCTGGGCAAGGGAGGATTTGATGCGAATGCCAAGAGACCTCACTATTGCTCTACTCGAGATCTTGGAGCAAGTGGAACAGGGTGCACCCTGGCCACTCTCCATGATCACCGGCATCATAAGTAGCTTGGAGAAAGTTCCAGGTGCTGGCAAGGTATCGCAATATAGACCCATCACTGTGTTTTCGATCATCGACTTGGTCATCTCTAAGATCGAAAGCCGCACTAGTCCACCTTTCGCAATTTGCCCCCAACAAGTGTTACGGCAACGTGCCAGGTAAGTGTGCGATAGATCTATGGCTGGCCATCCAAGCGGAGATCGAAGCTAGTAGAAGCACATCCGCCCCCATGACAGGGGTCATGGTCGATATCATCAAGTGTTCTAATGGCCTACCAAGGCTGCCGATCTTTCAAGTATGTGCGCACTTAGGAGTAGCTGCCCCGATGCTTCAAGCCTGGTCTTCAGCTCTGCACCAAATGGAACGTAGGTTTTCCATTCGGGGGTCAGTCAGTCCGCCGTGTAGGTCGACAACAGGCTGTGCTGAAGGGGACTCCCTCTCAGTCATGGGGATGTTGAGCATCAACATTCTAATCGACCATTGGCTTGTTTTTAAAATTCCTCAAGCACATCTTTGGACATATGTAGACAACATGGAAATCACCGCAAGTGGTCCACGTGTGACGCTCCAAGGGTTGCATGCTTTGCAAAACATCATTGGCGCCCTGGATCTCCAACTTGACAATGAAAAGACATTTGTCTGGGGCACCACCCCGGAAGTCAGAAAAATCCTCTCTGAATCCCCGTATCCCATTGCCATGTGGGCGCGGGACCTTGGAGGCCATATTCAGTATTCCGCAGTGCCCACAAATTCCGTCATTGTCAATCGTATTCACAAGTTTAAAGATCGTTGGAAGCAATTTGCCAGATCACCAGCACCGCTGAAACAAAAGATTCATGCAGTTGCAAGTGTCGCATGGCCGAACGTCCTGCACGGGGTAAGCTCGGTTCATTTGAGTCCTGCATACATGGATGAACTTCGCACGGGTGCCATGCGCGGGTTGCAAGAACATGGGGTGGGGGTGTCACCGAGCATTCACCTTTCGCTCATCTTGCCTATCAAGTGTGATCCTGGTTTCTATGCAATATGGAAAACGATTTGTGATTCTCGGATGTTTCTTCCCAAAGATGAAAGTCATGCCCTCTTCAGCCATATCACCTCGAATATCAACACGGTTCGTCCGAAAGTAGGTCCTCGCAGTGTACTTTTGAATCGTTTGCATGATCTTTTATGGCATTGGGATGGGAACACACTCAGAGATGAACTTGGGGACCCGGTGTGCCTTTGGGACACATGCATTCAGGAGCTTCGAGCCAAAGTCACTAGGGCTTGGCAGTTTCGCATTTTGACCATGAATAAAAATCGCAAAACCTTCGCAGGGTTTTGTCACACGAGCCCTCAGCTCACTACCATGGCTTTGCCCAACATGCCAAGTGATTTGGGCATTCTCAAAAAATGTTTAAATGGCAGTTTTTCACAGCAGATCACCAAGAGCACATGGTGCAAAATGGCGACACCACTTGTCCTTTTTGTGATCAAGTTGACAGCCAAAGACATCGACACTGGGAATGCCCGAAACTCGAATCAGCTCGAAGTTTTTGCAGTCCGAAAATGAAAAATGAAATCCTTTCCATGGACCCTGTCACATGGAATCATGGGTGGATCCCACGACCCAGTGGTCTCCACGCATGGCAATCGCACATATGTAATTTGCGTGATGAGACCTCGGTTTTCGATGAAGCTATCGTGCCAACGGACACTTGTGACATTTTCACAGATGGTAGTAGCAAGATGCCGGCGCACAAGTTGCTGCGATGGGCAGCGTGGGGTGTCGCCGGTTCCATGTCCATGGATGGCCCGTTTCTTCCATTGGCAAATGGCCTGGTCCCGGGCTTAGTGCAGACCATCTCCAGAGCAGAGTTGTATGCGGCCAAAGCAGCCCTCCTTTTTATCCACTCTAGACGTTCACATTTTCGCATTTGGATAGATAGTTATCATGTATACCATGTCCTTCATGCAGCCGCTCATGCAAGCACAGAGGCTGAACTGAGTCAGTCCAATCGCATCTTGAATCATGATTTAGTTCATGAAGTCCAACTCTTGATGTTTCAGGTCAAGCATTTGTGCCGAGCGGTAGTGAAAGTGTGCAGTCATCAAGATCCCAGAGGGTCTGCAGACCCAGTTGAGCTGTGGGCTTGGGAGGGAAATAATGCAGCGGACTGATGTGCGGAACAGGCTTTCCTGGCCTACCCGCACACACATCAGCAATGGTTGAGACTGAAAGAAGAAACTCGACACCTCGAGGAACTCAGAGACGTGCTGCATAAAGTGCTGATTGAAACAGGCCGTCTGGCCATGCAAGTAGTAGAAAAACACAAACCAGCTCCAGCTGACATCCTGGAGCATGGTTTTGCACCACCAATGCAGGTTGAGCAAACACCATGGACCCTTCCGTTAGATTTGCCCGAAGCCGCAAAATACCTGTGGATACCGGAATGGCCGCGTGTATGTCACTGGATACAAGATTTGCACACCGTAGGGCTGCCAGTCCGGAGATGGTGTTGGCAACAACTTTTCATTGACATTTGTTTACATGTAGGTTCCGTAGGTCCGTGGTACAACAAAAATAGTCATGGATGGCAAGGCCACGACACTTGCCCCAAGCACTCCTTTACCAAAAGAGTCAGATCATTTTTGACTTGGCTGAACAAAATTGCAGCAGCATGCCAAGCTCCGCTACCATTGATGTTGCAAAGACCCGAAAGCCATGCCATTAATTTCTGGCAGCCATGCCTGTTTGTTCGCATTTCGACCGTGCGATCTCAGGCAGTCGATGAGTGGATGATGCGATGGAAGGGGACCTTTCGTCGCTACAGAGACTACCATGCAATCGAGGAGATACCATGATCAGACTGATCAGATGGTGGCTTTGGATGCATTTCGCCGGTTGACCACCTCAAGTACGCGCTGCTGTCTGCAGAGGTCACCATGACCAACTGCCGTCCTGCGTGATCGCCCGAAAAAGTTGCGAAAAAGTTGGTTTTTCTTTTCACAAATCTCGTTGACTTCCAACACTTTTTGGCCCTTTTTGGCCCTTGGGTTTAGACATCCAAGTGATTGTTATTGATTAATGGAATTCTGTGAAAGGGTCCCAACCCAAGAGGGGACTTGTCGCAGATGTGTGAGGCATGGACACTGATTTTTGCCTCCGCTTCCACATCTTCTGACGTTTTTCCTTCTCATTAGCACTCGAAAATGCAAACCCAGCCCTCGTCCAATGCCTTGTCAACTCTCCAAGCCACTCCAGGGCATCATGTGCGCTGAGCAGCTCCTGCACGACCCGGCGCTCTTCGAGCGGGGCCGGACTGGGCCGACCACGCCTCGGACTTCAGACCCGCTCAAGGCTTTGACATCGCCCAGCGCAGAGGAGTTGGTGGATGAATACCTAGGCTACTGTGGCAGCTTGACTCAGCTTGAGCGTATTCGATCTTCTGCGCTTCTTCTTGTTGCAGAAGGGCTGGAGTCAATCTTCTCGTTGAGGGAGGCCCTTCACCGTGGTTCTTGGATGTTCTTGGTCCTCTCAAGTTCTCCTTTTTTCTAGGCAGAGGTGGGGCAGGGGGGGCAGGGTTTGGCTTTTGCTGGCTTTTGTATTTTTTGCTATAGCTGCTATGGAAGGAGACGTGTGTGTGTGTGTTTTTGATTTTTAATATGTGTGTGTGCTTTTAATCAATAGTTCCTTGTCGAAAGCGAAGCTGCAAAGCTGGACCTCCGCAAAGAGGGGCCCCAAAACGATATGCTCTCCCTCGGGTGAAAGGCAATCCAACTTGGGTTGAGCAGGTGTTGGTTGTTGTCGTCGTCGTCGTCGTCGTCGTGGTCGTGGTCGTTGTGGTCGTTGTGGTCGTTGTGGTTGTTGTTGTTGTTGTTGTTTGCACGTGTATTCCTCTTACACTGTTTGTGATGTTTGTGTCCACTTTAGGGTAGTGTGGCACACACACTCACTGTAGCTGGCAGCTTGATGTGAAAAGTTTGAAACGTTGTTTCTGTTACCACGGAAACCAACTTTTTCATACAACAGTTGAGCAAAGCAGCAGACAAGCTGACCCTCTAGTTGACCCCGAGCACCATGAGCACCCCATGCAGTGACTGAAACTGCCGTTCGTGCCGGCTGAGGTACCTTTGGTGCCGAAGACGAGGTCACCTGGATGCGTAAGTTCTTGACAGTTTGCAGGGTTGTGAGTTATAGGCCCAATGGGTTAAGAGATGAATCAAAGCTACAAGGAGGGCCACCAGTCACCCATGGGAGGTGATCTTGAGTGGGAACCGGGATGTCACGGGATCTCACTTGCGCAAGCCGAAGCTTGTAGGCTGCCGCAAGCTCAAATGCTACTACTGTCACCCTTCTTGTTGCCGGTACAAGAGTTGAACTATGCTACGACAGTCCTGCGAAAAGGGATGAAAAGGCTGAAGCCATGCCCTTCGATGGAGTCAGGCAAGTCGTCCTCGTGTCCCACAATGTTCGCTAGGGTAGCAAGGTTGAATGAAAGGCATCAAACACATTCAAACACTGTGGGTCAAAACATGTCAAAACTAAACACCCATGGCCCAATGCCTATGTTCTGCTCAATCGAACATGATAGATACACGGTTTTGACTCCAAGACAAAGTTGCTGTTGCAGATTGTTATATAGATTGGTTGATTGGATGTGCTTTCCTTAACCGGGTGTGTGTTGTCGCATCAAAGTCAACAATCAATTGGAACATTGGAGTGTTGTCACGGTGGCACCTTTCGTCCTACCCACTTTGTTCGTGATTGGAGTGGCACAGATGGCACAGGATCTACTTTGTCTCCGCCGGTAGGTACGAAGAGGGCGACAGTAGGCATTAGTCTGCGACCCTTCCCTTCATCAAGATTTGGCTGCGGCTCACCAAGCAGATGAGGGCCACTGCTTTTGTCTATGCTTAGCATCCGGAGAGTAACGGATCTCCGCTTAATGCTTAATCTTTACCGGGGAGATGTTGAGGGGCTATGTTGACTTAGCGAGCACCATTTTGACAGCTTTCAACTGGTGTTTGGGTGCCTTTCTTGTCTAGTTGTGTATTTAAAACGCATGAGTTTCCCAATCTTCTCTCTCAGATGTCTCTACTTTTAATAAAGAAAGCATCACTGCACTGTTGGACAGAGCAGTAATGTTTCTCACATTGCATAGTCAGGTTTCTGAGTAGAGGTTTTGCCAAACGACCATGCCCGAAGGAGACCTTCTTCTCGATCTGGGGTGCTACCAACGGCCACGTCATTCGTGAGCACGTACACAGGACTGAAGAACGAAGGTCTGACATCGTCAAAATGTTTTTGGTGGGAGAGATTCAGAGGCATTCTCCTGAAAGCAAATCCACTGACACAGGGCACTTAGTTGGACTCAGACTTGCTGTTCCTCAGAAAGGCATATACTGTAGTAGATGCGGAGAACGGCAAAGTCTTGTGCTGCAAACGAGGCAGCCTCGTTGGCCACACGGTTACAGTTGGGTGGGGAGGTGTGGCCATCCAATCACTGCCGTTCCAGGATGAGATCTGATAAAGGTCCGTCCTCATACACCAAGTTGCTGGGCATGGAGGAGGGCGGAGGGCAGATATTCAAGCTGTTCAGTCCCTTTGATCCTTAGGAGTCCCGATCATCCAGATCCTCCACCAGTACTAGGAGCACCTGGCCGGTCCAGATCCGTTCTCACAGGTCAACTGGGAGGTGAGATCAAAGAGATCCCCAAACATGTGACATCATGTGACTGTTTCTCCCGAATTCTCACCTGTCAGCACATTAGGCTAGGGGTCTCCAATGGAAGACCCTACACCACTTAGTGACTAGTCGATGAGTCGACACGCCTTTTAGCTGGAAGGTCCAGGTAGAAGTGTTTTCAGCCGCTTCACGCCGCTGGATGAAGACCTCGTAGCTCGCTGGATGACCTTGGGGTTGTCTGTCCTGTGTTTCTATACCTGGCGCTTCCATATTGGGGTGTCCTGTCTGGTGTCCTGCTTCGCAGTGTAGGGTTGTCTTACTTGGTCACCAACGGAAGCAGTTTCTATCTATCAGTCCCTAATGGGAAAAAACAACACATGAGACATCTTCCACCAGAGGCAGCGAACAATTACCCAAATACCCAAAAGAAGATGGATGTGTCTTTAGTGGGGTCCCTCTTTTTTGTTGTTTGGTTGAACGGTTAAACCGATCGGGTTTGCCTATTTTGGGGGATAAGGAGCATCGTGCATTGTTGTCCTTTACAAAGTCCTGAGGACACCTCGCCCTCAACTTAAAGTTTCCTACCATATCCATTTTATGTATATAGTGAACAATCATTCCAAACACAAGATTAGTCCATTTGAGTAGTTCTTGCAAAGCATGTTTTTCAATCTTAACTTTAATGTTCAATCATCTTTGTTTCTTTGTCACTGCGTCGACTCTGTTGAAGTCCACACAGTCCCTCTCTCTTTCCTCTTGCCGTAGTATGCCGGTCTCATTACCACTGCCCGTGCCCCACTCATAGAGACCAAGACTGAGACCTAATAATCGTTCAGCATCCCACCACCATGATCCGTCCTTTTGCTATGTGTGAAACACAAATTAGGACAGAGAAACACACAAAGGAAAGACTCAGAGCCCACTTAGTCTAAACCTCTGAACCTGGTGGTGTCCATCACACCACCAGGATCGATTTTGACCCCATTCGACTCCAGTCGAGTAACAACCCTTGGCTCCTGCCCCTGCACTGGTCGAGTGGCTTCCTAGGCTTGGTGGAAAGAAGAGAAGCCTCAGAGCACTCGAGGAAGCAACGGATGTGGAAGCAACGCCGCGAGTGAACAAAAGAAGCGACCTGGACCTCGACCGAACACCGGGGAAGGTCTTCGGCTTTCAGAAACTTCGTCAGGTTTTCTGCGGAGTTTGGGAGATCTATTTGAAGAAACGAAGGATCAGCAAGTATTCTTTCACCAACTTAGAGACAAACGGTTTTGGACACTCCTTCGAAGAAGTGTGAGAATTCCAGGCAGTGCCAGGCAGGAGCCACCTTGGTGAAGAGGTCCTCCCAATCACTGGGTGTGTCAGGAGCTTCAGCCCCCCCCTGAGTGAACACCGTTCCTCCGAAAAACCGCCAGGCTGAGCCACTCTATGTTAGAGCCTATGAGGGTCAGAAGGCGAGGGGTGGAGCGGGCGCGGGAAAAGAGACCGAAGTACGCGGAGTTCGCGGAGTTCGGGGAGTTCGGTTCGTTGGTTGATGTGTTTCTTTGTGGTCATGGATGGTTTGATCATATGCTGCATCAGTCAGTTGGTGCAGTACGCACGTGCTGCGGTCTGTGGTCGATTGGACCTCTCCCCTGGTCTCAGCTGTAGGTCGGAGGCTTTGTTTTGATGAGTTTTCCTGAACTGTGAGCCTTGTTGCCATATTGGAGGAGAGGATTTGGCGGCATCATAGAAGCCGATGCAAGACAAGATTTGTTTAAACATACATAGCAAAATAAAAGGCACCGAGACCCACCTTTCTGAAGCCATGATCAGTCCAACTTCAACCGGTCGAACCACCCCGCAGAATCATCATGCATCCCTTTGTTCAATGTTGACACTGTGTGAATCAGAACTGCTTCCAACCAGACCCCAAACACGCGGAACGCGGAACGGATGAACGTGTGATGCGAACGTGGCACAGTCACAGCTGGGCGCGGCCTCTCCGGTGGTCATGCAGACTGCGGTGAATCTGGCAGGGCTCAAGCAGGCGGGCCGAAGGCTTAAAGTGGTTCTTGGAGTCTCAGTGCACCTTGGAAAATCACTGCAAGATACCTTTTTTTGTAGGGTGATGTGACAACAGATGAAAAGGGTTCATGTGGCTCATGTCCCATTGTTTAGAGTCTTGCTCAGTGGTGCTGATTTCGAAATGCGAAAAACGTAGTAATGTACAAGGCCGTTCATGCAAGGTTGATATGTTTGATGTCAGAATTGGAATACATAGTCGAGGGAACAGATGGGAACAATCACACCCTACACAATGCGATTCCTTACCAATCACACACATAAATCGACGCAGATTCGATTCATGTTATTAATGTTTGTTGAATCATTATCTTCCTTGTTGGCATGCTCGCCACGTATATAATTCATCCATATTCATCCTATACATTGAGTTTGCCCTATTACCTGTAATAGTCAGCAGACAAATATCACGATGGTTTAAAGAACGGCCTTTACTAACCATAATCATCCACTCTTACTGGTAATAGGATAGACCCAACCGATACAATAGATATAATCTAATCAAATGTCATGTGGTCATCACTAATTCCTTGTACCTGGCAGTGCGATCAGAGCTGGACTCCTCAACCAATTCAGGCCTGGTGAATCCCAACACCCACCTGAAACAACATCAGTAGATCCCTATGGAGAAGTGATCAGCCTGCAGGTCTTGAAGCAGCAAGGTTGGACATAAGCTCTTCATAGCTCTCGTGTTCAAAGCTGATGGTGGTCGAATTGATTCAACCTTGGACTTGGATTTGGAATCTGATGTGCGTAGTATGGGTATGTAACATATGATTATGGTTCTAGCTTGTTACTTCAGATGCTTTAAACCCATTATTCCTGGTCACAAAGCAGGTTGCCCCTGCCACCAGAATCCACTCACGTGGGGTTCTTAGATAGTCGACCCCTGTACATTCGCGGGGTGCTTTATATGCATATATATATATGTCATCCTGATGGTCATGCGAGGGTGATGACAAGGCCTTGCCAGCTCGGCACGCGAAGCAGATGCCGCCACATCTGACGTGGCCAGATGGGCCCCCTAACTGCCCAAAGCCCAAAGCGGTTCTCTCACTGCCCAATGAGGGCATTGTATCCTGCATACATTAAGAATGATCAGTGATATGTACTAAGTTATGTACTAATTACTAATAGATCCAAAAAACATTAAGATACATTAAGCACATTATATAACATATTGACTTTATGTACCAGAGACTCTAAATATGTTCCACAACTGCTGGACCATGATGCCTTTGGACCGCCAACGCCGACCGCCAGGCACGAGGGCTTTTGGATGAAGCCGAAGCGCTCGACCGCGAGGCACGGGGATGTAAAACAAACATGCAACGTCGCTCAGCGGCGGCGTTAGGGGTGCGGAGAACAAACGTTCGCTGCTGGAGAGTGTTCGGGTGAAAGCCCGGGTGCTATGTGAGACTTTTCAGTCTGATCGCTAGTAGATTGGAGGCCATCCCAAATAGCTTGGAGGCCATTGCTATTAGGTTGGAGGCCATCCCTACTAGGTTGGAGGCCATCCCTATTAGGTTGGAGGCCATCCCTATTAGGT